GCAGGACCCATCAGACAGGGGAGACTGTAACTGGAGGTCAGTCTCAGGTTCACACTGGTTCCACTCAGATCAGGGAAGAAGGCAGAACCCATCAGACAGGGGAGACTGGGACTGGAGGTCAGTCTCAGATTCACACTGGAACCACTCAGGCCAGAGAGCAAGGCAGGACCCATCAGACAGGAGAGACCATTACTGGAAGTCAGTCTCAGATTCATACCGGAACCACTCAGATCAGGGATCAAGGCAGGACTCATCAGGCAAGGGTAACAGTGACTAGAGGTCAATCTCAGACAGGGATCACTCAGACCGGGAATACTGTAACCCAACAATGGGAAACTGGCTATGGCCAGACTAGAGGCACAGAGTCCCAAGGACAGGACAGGGGCCAGATAACAAGAGAAACAGTGTTAGGGGGACAGACTCAAACTCAAACAGGGGAACGGGCCCAGACCCAGACAGGAGGTAGTCAGGGATGGGGCCAAGAAAGGAGCCAACAAACAAGAGAACCAGTGCTGGGGGGCCAAGGTCACACCCAGATGGAGAGCTCTTTGTCTGGGAGACAGGGCTGTAGTGGCAGTCAGACAAGTTGCAGTGTGACAGAAGGGTTACAGGACAGTGATGACTGCCAGACCCAAGAACCCACTATTGGAGGACAGGAGTGGAACAGACATCAGACAAGGGAGACAGCGGTTCAACAGCAGGACCAGAGTAATCTGCAGGCAAGAGAATCAAAAAATCATGGTCAGGAGTCCACTCAGCTTGGAGAAGCAGGCCAGGCTCAGGGAGGAAAGCGAGGCCTCACTGCCCGGGGCCTCTACTCCTACTTCAAAGGTAACAAGCAATGAACATGAGCTCTTCGATTCCCAATGCCCAGGAATAAGAGCTGCACAACTGGGGAGGCATTGGACAGTCCTACCTTTCTTGGTCAGATCAGCCTATTATCAGTCTATAATCCAGCTGCTTTCCAGCTGGGTCATGAGTAGACCCTTTCTTCAAGTTGCTTTGTGTCCCCAAACCCTTCCCTGTCCTTCTACCCATCCTTTGTCAGAAGAAGCAAGGGTACTTGGGCCAAACATGGCAGGCACTAGCCCCTTCTATTTGGTTCCCTTCATCTTGTCCTCAAGCTCAAGTCCTCACTTTGAACTTTGCCATCCTATGCTACTAGACTCTACCTTCTAATGCATCAATAAAAAAACTCTTCAGAATTAGCAGCCTCTGCCTCTTCTTATCGGCCATTGCATTTACTCCTTCCACACAATACTGAGGCTGAAGGACCTTAGTCAGAAGGCTCTGCTCATTAGTAAAACCAAACATGAGCCCCAACAGCCAATGATATTCTTTAAATAATTGATTAGAAATGGTCCAGGGAGTAGGGGATGGGGGTGGGAGGTGGCAACAAGCATTTTATACCTCCGGGTTAGGTTATTAGAATGAATGATGTGTCCTCCACAATGTTTCTCCCCATCCCAACCTAGGGTGCCCTCCATCATTACTCACCTCCCCAATTATAATCAATCTAATTGAACAACAAGCTTATACTGACAACTGTATTAGTCCATGGGCAACTAGGTGGTGCAACAGATAGAGTGCCAAGCCTGGAATCAGAAATATTTATTTTCATGAGTTCAAATCTGGCCTCAGAGACTGGCTGTGTGACCCTGGGCAAATCATTTAACTCTGTTTGACTCAGTTTCCTCATCTGTCAAATGAGCTGGAGAAGGAAATGGCAAACTTCTCCAGTATCTTTGCCAAGAAGACCACAAATAAGGTCACAAAGAGTCGGACATGACTGAAAAATAACAAAATATAACTATGTTCACAAGCTACTTGTAGATAGATACATAGAGAGAAAATGGGATACAGAAGCTAATTTTAGAGTAGGATATTGATACATATATATGAATATAGAGAAACCTGCTGAAGCTACTGAATAGGAGACCAGAGGAAGAAAAAGCAATGGCCCCCATTGTTTCAAAGAAAGATTCAAGTGTCAATTCTTGACCAAGAATGTGCCTCAATAAGTCTGTCCATGTCCTAACATATGACTTTATTCTATCAAGATAATCCCCCCAAATATTATGATACTTCAATAGAACCATGGCATCATTGATGAAAGAACTCCCTTGAATGGCATAAGTCATCCTCATCCTCATGATGTGTAATTCTTGACCTTGTCTTCTTGTGGGTACTACATAGTGATATACTCAATGCACTGGAGATAATTTCTTAAGTCTTTTAATATTCTTTAAATGCCAATACAACGCTTGAGTTGTGCTGTTTTCCCTCTCAGTCATTTCCTACACAATTCTTTTGTGATAACTTTTTTATCATTTCTTGTATACCTAACATAATTGCTAACATGCCACAACCAACTTACATTCACCATGCATCTATCTATTGCTGGTTAGGTCAACTGCAATTTTTAATACTATGGGGAATATGTCATGATTTGGGTCCATATAATATGAAGGGGAGAATATTAGTGTTTAAAAGATTTTTTTTTGTCCAGGGAACTTGAGAATATTAAAAATACTGTGCAACTTCCCAAATCAAATAGAACCCACTCCCCTCTTCCCTGTCAATTCTGAGGCCAGCGCATTATAAATCTGCAGTATCTATTCAAGACATATAATGATGGACAAACTCAGTGAGTCATCTAACTGCATGACATAGTCTGAGAATTGTTGAGTATTCATCTACTTGGTTTTTCCTTTGTGGAGTGTTAGGCCCGTGTCTCTTGAAAAACCATAGATATCATTTAAAAGTGTTACGAACTCTAGAGAATCAATGAAAAACTAATTCAATTAATTAGCAATTTTACTTAAGTTGCAGGATTAACAAAATCCACACAAATCATCAGCATTTCTATATAATACCAACAAAACCCAGCAGGAAGAGAGAAAGAGCGATTCCATTTAAAATAACTGCAAATGGTATAAAATACTTGGGAGTTTTCCTGCCAAGAAATACATAGGAGCTATATGAACATAACAATCTTCACACAAGTAAAGACAGATCTAAAGAATTGGAGAAATATTAATTGCTCATGGGTAGGCTGAGCCAATATAATAAAAATGACAGTATTGCCTAAATTAATTTACTTACTCAGTGCCAAATCAAACTACCAAATAATTACTTTATAGAGCTAGAAAAAAATGACAAAATTCATCTGGAGGAACAAAAAGGGAAGAATATAATGGAAATCAATGAAAAAATATGAAGGAAGGAGGACTAGTAGTGACAGATCTCAAATAATATTACCAAGTGGTAATCATCAAAACAATTTCATACTGATAAGAAATAGAGTGGTTGCTCAATGGAATAGATTAGGTATATAATATACCAGAGTAAATGAACAATAAGATAGTATTTGATAAACCCAAAGATCCCAGCTATTGGGGTAAGAACTCACTATTTGACAAAAAGTATTGGGAAAACTGGAAAGAAGTCTGGCAGAAATTAGACACTGACAAGCATCTCACACCATATAACAACATTATGTGTACGTGATTTAAATGCAGAGTGACATCATAAGCAAATTAGGGGAGCACAGAAAAAATTACCTATCAGATCTATAGATGGCGGAAGAATTCATGACCAAATAAGAGATAGAAAGGATCATGAAAGGTAAAATGGATAATTTTGATTATGTTAAATTTTAAAAGTTTTGCACAAGCAAAACCAATGCAGCCAAAACTGGAAGGAAAGCAATAAACTGAAGGGAAAAAAAGTAAGAGCAAATTTTTCTGATACAGGTTTCATTTCTCAAATAGATACAGAATGGAGTCAAATTTATAAAATTAAGAACATTCTTCAACTGATAAATGGTCAAAGGATATGTACAGGCAGTTTTCAGAAGAAGAAATCAAATCTATCAATAGTCATATGAAAAAATGCTCCAAGTCACTAATAATTAGTGGTATATAAATATATAGTGGTATATAAATAATGAGGTACTCCCTCATTCCTATCAGATGGGCTAAGATGACAGAAAAGTAAAATGACAAATGCTGGAAGGGATGTGGGAAAATAGGTACCCTAGTGCACTGTGGGCAGAGCTAGGTGGCACAATGGATAGAGTACCAGGCCTAAAGTCAGTAAGATTCATCTTCGTAAGTTCAAATCTGGTCTCAGACACTTACAGGCTGTGTGACTCTGGGCAAGTCACTTCACCATGTTTGCCTCAGTTTCTTCATCTGTAAAATGAGCTGGAGAAGGAAGTGGTAAACCACTCTAGTATCTTTGCCAAGAAAACCCCAAAAGGGGTCATGATGAGTTGAACACTACTGAAACAACTGAACAACAAATGCACTACGGAGCTGTGAATGAGTCCAACTATTTTGGAAAACAATTTGGGACTGTGCCCAAAGGACTATAAAATTGTGCAAAACATTTGACCCAGAAATACCCCTACTAGGTCTGTATTCTAAAGAGATCAAAGATTAAGGAAACAAAAATAATTATAGCAGCTTTTTTTGGTGGCAAAGAGTTAGAAACTAAGGGTATGACCAACAGTTTGGAAATGGCTGATTTTGATAGAATCTTATTGTGCTATTAGAAATTAAGAAAATGATTTCAGTCCAACCTGAGAAGACATATGAACTGATGCAAAGTGAAGTGAGCAGAACCAGGATAGCAACGTGCAGAATAACAGCAACATTTTGACGACAGTCACTTAATTACTCCGATCAATATAAAGCTCTCTGACAATTCTGAAGAACTCATGGTGAGAAATGCTATTCACTTCCAAATAGAGAACTGATGGACTCTGAGTGCAGATTAAAACAATTTTTTTCTTTGTCTTCATTTTTCTTGTTTCTCTTTTTGCTTCCTTTTTGCAACATAGCTAATGTGAAAATATGTTTTGCATGACTTCATAGTTATGATGGATATCATATTTCCTGCTTTCTCAATGGATAGCAGAGAGGAAGAGAAAGGGAGAAAATTTAGAACTAAAAATTAAACAAAAATATTAGGAGCATTTACCTTGGTAGAGCAACATGTAATCTTAAATGTCTCCCAGGTATGTGCTAAGATAATATAAAAGTCCTTGACAAACAGAACAAGAGATAAGTTTATTTAATAATTCTTTGATTATTGATATCAAGGAATACATGTCATTAATATTAGGGAATTAAGCACACTAAAGTCATTCACCACCATCATGGAGGATATCTTGTGCAAAGTCCAAAGCAAGAGGGATTCCTTACAGACATTGAGACTCCTTTAGGTGTTGCATAACAGCATGCTGATTGCATCAAGGTCTGAAATACTACAAGGCTTCCTGTCACAAAATCATAGATTTGGAGCTGGAAGGGACTATTGAGGTCATCTCATCCAATCCTCCCTCACCTTGCATTTGAGGGAACTGAGACCCGGAAAAGTTAAAGTCCAGTCCAGAAATTTTAAAATCTTGTCCAAGGTCACACAAGCAGTCAAGATCTGAACACAGGTTCTCTGATTCCAAAATTCACACTGGTTCCATTGAACCACATACCTAAAAGAGATCTAGATAAAATAATAGCTAAAGAAACAATATGGCAAATATTAGAGTCACTATGAGATAGTTGTTCAGAGGAAGAGATCACTTCTGCCTGGAGTAGTGTGCTGATAATGGGGTACCATCATCATTATTAACAAAAGCCTGATGAACCCTCTGTGGGCATGCGGTGAATGCTGAAACAACTGTCTGGACACCTGTTCCTGTCCTCTGTGAACTTATAGTCTCAGGCGTAAAACACAAAGGTGGACAGACGCATAAAAGAGCATGCTGATAAATCAATCAACGCTGAGCAAATCTATAAATAAAATCAATAAACATTAAGTGTTATGAATACTTGTGAAGTGCTTTGTAAGCCTTCAAGCTCTCTATATAAGTGCTAGTTATTAGTAGGTGCTATGTTATAGAGGAGATTCTTTGTTAGACACAGATTGTACTAGATGGATTCTGAAATCCCCTACACTACTGAGAATTTGGTTGTGACTCTTCCCTGGTCATAAAGCTAGGAAGTGTTCAGACTAGGATTCAAACACAAATTCTAAATCCAAGGTCCTAGTTTTTTTCCGCTGTACTGTACTGACTTGGTTATTCTGGGAAAAAACAGAACATAGTGACAGTGGGAGGGGAGAAGTTAGGGACAACCACCATTTTAGTCACTCAGGTTTGCAATCTCACCATCATCATCCACAACAGCTCACTCGTTCA